AGCTAAATGGTTTTTAGCTAAATTCCCTCTTGTTAATATTCAGGCTGATTTATTAATAAGGGATCCATCGCTTGCGGACAGAATCCATACTAAGCTATCTAAGAAGAAAAAGGTTATTTGTTGGTCTCCGTCCCCTCATGATTTCTTTAAATTCAATGTTGATGGGGCGGTGAGAGGGGATGGGCTGCAGGGAGGAATTGGAGGAGTTTTGAAAGATTCCAACTGCTCTATTTTAACCTCTTTCTCTATAGCTGTGGGACCTGGTCCTCCTATGTTTGCTGAGTTAAAAGCTATTAAGCAGGGAATTGATATATTTCTTTCATCGGAGTGGGCAACGAAGGGAAGACTTATCCTTGAGAGTGATTGCAGGAAAGCAGTGGATTGGATCTTGATACCTATTTCTGCCCCAACGTTTTTTAGTTCTTTGGTTGAGGAAATTGGGGCCTATGTATCTGCTAGGGGTTTTATTATTAATTGGATTCCAAGGAGTTGTAATTGGGAAGCAGACAAGCTAGCAAAAGAGGGGATTGGTTGAGGTGTTGTGTTATGTTGTTGTAGTGTTATGTATTTTATCTAGGGAAATTTATTATGTAAGCTGTATCTTATGTAATTATGAGTTATTAATAAAATGAGGCACTCTTTTCCTCCTTCCGCTAGTTGCCTCATTCACAAGAGGCAACTAAGAGGAAGGTTTTTAATGAGGCCTCTTATTCCTATAAAAAAAAGATTAACTCCTTTACTGAATGGGGATGGAGTTCCTATGGCTTTTTGCAAGGTTGATATATTCGGGATTCCTCTACTATGCTGGAACGAATCTTTCTTAGAAAGAATAGCTGGGAGATGGGGAAATATGGTGGAAATTCATGACTCCACCAAGAACAGGGATGATCTCACTTCTGCGAGGATTCTTATGAGAATTGTTAGCCCGTTTGATGTGCCAGAATTTATTTTTCTTGGATCCTATGGGAGATTGTTCAGAGTTAATATTAAGATTGGATCGGTTTATGATGATTCAAAGACTTTTTTCAAAATTTCTCCGGTGGTCGGAGCAGTTGGAGAAAATTGTGGTGAGCTGAGGTATGAGGACGAGGAAGATAGGGTTATGTCAGAATTTAAGGAAAGTCCAGTCAAATCAGCAGAGAAATGCAAACAAAAAGTTGACTTTTGGATCGAGGGAGTTTTTTCTGGCTTAGCAGAAACTGATGGGGAAACACATTCTCCAAGATGTACCAAACATGGGAAGAGTATTAGAAAAAGTTTGTCAGGTTCACAGAACGTTGGGAAAAACAGAGGAGGAGAGTTTGCAGGTTTGGGTGTCAAGAATTCAAATATTTCGGCTAATGGATCACAGGCCCAATCGGATGATTTTGAGCTGCCTGGACTGGATTTTTATAAATTAATTCCTTATGGGCCAGCTTACACAATTAACAAGTTTGGTAAACTAGTTAAAAATAGAAGAAAAGCAGAGGTGAGCAGTGATATGAAACAGTTAAAAGGGTCCAGTAAGAATTCTGATTCATTTGGCAGTGAAGACAGTGAGGCTAAAGAAACTAAGTCATTGATGTTAGTTTCTAATTCAGAGATACTAAAAGACCATTCCAGAGGTCGTTCGTTAACAGTGCACAGAAGCTCGCATTCCTCCAAGAGTGTGCCTTTAGAGAAGAGCAGAATGCCATGTTATAGTAGAGTTTACAGAAGAAGGAGAGGAATTACTGGCATGAGAATGATCAGAATGGAAATATTGTTAACGAGGTTGTTTCAAATTCAAAGATGGTTAAGGATCAGTTTTGCTCAAATGTTCACCAGACTTCTAAAACAGTAGGGCTTAATTTACTAGATTGTGAGATTCCAAATTCAGTACTGGAATCCTGTGGTGGAGGTATAGATGGAGAGTCTGTAGGATGTGATTTGGATAAACAACCTTTTCTATCCAATTCCCGATTGACCAGTAGAAGAGTTAAAAGATTGTTGTTTAGGGAAGCAGTAGATCAAGTCAGTATTTCTACAACAGCTTCTTCTGTCTTTTCCAATGTTATTAAAACCGGACCGGACCGGCCGGTTCGACCGGTTGAACCGTGAACCAGTGGCATGTCCGGTCCGGTTAACTCCAAAAACCGGATTAGCACAGAACCGGCTAAAAACCGGGAAAACCGGGGTGAACCAGCTGAAAACCGACGAAACTGGTTTGAACCGCCGGTTCACTTTTTTTCTTTAAAAAAAAATTAAACCAAACAACGTCGTTTGTTCAACGAGCCGAGTCAAATTCGAGTATTGTTGAGCTCGACTCGAACTCGAAAACTTTAAAAGTAAGCTCAACTCGACTCAAAAACTCACGAGCTAAAAATTATCAACTCGAAATATAATATTAAAACTTGAAATCGAAAAGCCTTGAACTCAAAAAAAAATTTAGAAGTTCGATTGAAGCCTAAAATTTGAATTGAAGCGAAAGAATAGTTCGCTTTGTGCTCACCAAAAGGCTCCATGATTTTGAATGTCAAATTACCTCTATTATTTATAGAAGTAAGTTGGGATGCTCTTCTATGTTTCTTAGCCATGTGGGATTGTTTTGTTCTCATATTTTTTTCTCTTTAAACTTTTGGGATACTCTTCTATGTTTTTTAGCCATGTGGGATTTTTTTTTAAAACAATTAAACCAAATGACATCATTTGTTATGATTTTTTTAAACCCCAATTTTATTTTTTTGATTATAGTTATATAATTATATTTATTATTTAATATGTTTTACCTTAAATATTATGTTGTAGTTGATTTGAATCATTTTGTTTCACTTGATTTTATGGTTTTTCATTTATACATATTATGACTTGTGATATTTTTATACCTTTTAATATTGTAAACTTAAAAAAAGTGTTACATATATATTAATATTGCTTTGAATATTATGTAAAATTAAAAAAATATATTATTTTATATAAAATCCGGTTCAACCGCGGTTGAACCCGGTTGAACCAGTGAACCAGTACCTTCACCGGTTCAATGTCTGGTCCGGTTTTGAAAACATTGGTCTTTTCAGACCTCTTAGATGAAGCAGTCGCTACATGGCAAATTAGTCAGATTTTTGGGTGTTTCCTTCAAGCAAGGGAAGGAAGCTTTTTTGGAAAAAATAATTAACTTAGAGAAAGGTTGTAATATGGCTAATTGAGAGTCGTATTGGGGTTTTGGGGATTGTTCAGTTATTAATTATGAAGAAAAACTTAGCCATAATCACATGGAATATAAGGGGTTTGGGTAAAAAGGAAAAACAAAGAGCGGTGCAGAGATTAGTTGCAAACTCTCATCCTTCTTTTCTTTGGCTTCAAGAAACCAAAGAAGAGAAGATACAAAGGTCTTTTCTTAGAAGAAACGGGTTAAATGGTTTTCAAGGGGTTGTTGAATCGCCAGCTATTGGTTCTTTAGGGGGTTGTTATGTTGCTGGGATGATGAAGTATTTGAGAGGGAAGATCATTGCATAAATAGAAGATTCATTGCGGTTACAGGAAAATTCAGATTTAATCAGTTCAGAAGTGTCCTCATTAATGTGTATGGTCCTTCTGTGGAGGAGGAAAAAGAAAGCTTCTTTGAAGAACTTAGTCAATTCATTTCGGGACAGAATCTGCCGGTTTGTGTTGGAGGAGATTTCAATGTTTACTTGTGTGAAGATGAGAAGATGGGTAGAGCACAGAATAGAGTTTCAATGAGGATTTTCTCTCATTTTATTCAGTCTGTAGGATTAATTAATCTGCCTATGGAGGGGGGAAGGTTTACTTGGAGTAATCAATGTTGAGGATGGGGCGTTAGCTACTTGGGCGAATGATATTGGTTGTTCGGTAGGTAGTTTCCCATTAGAGTATCTAGGTTTACCCTTGGGCTATAAGAGAAATTCGGCTGCCATGTGGGAGCCAATAGTGGAGAGATTTCACGCTAAGTTGAGTGGTTGGAAGTCTAATTCCCTGTCGCTTGCAGGAATGGTGGTGTTGGTTAAGTCAGTGTTGTGCTCGCTCCCTGTGTATTTTCTTTCCATTTTCAAAATTCCAGTTTCTGTGCTAAAGAAACTAAATTCTATCATGGCTTCATTTTTGTGGGGGGGGGGGTGCAACGGATAAAAAAAATATCCACTGGTTAAATTGGAGTTCGGTTAGTAAACCAAAAAGATTGGGGGGTCTAGGGGTCCCTAATTTATTACTCTTGAACAGAGCATTATTGGGGAAGTGGGTTTGGAAGTTTGCATCAGAGAAAGAGTCTTGGTGGAAGAGGGTGGTATGTTGTGTTTATGACTTGGATCCGAAATGCATAATGTGTTTATGACTCGTTGATTTCGGACCCTTCAATACGGGATTCCCATTCGTCCTACAAGTTCCTGAAGTCTTCTAATTTTCCCTGGTGTCCTCCTCCTATAGGCTTCATTAAACTGAATGTGGATGATGCCACTAGTAGTGATTGGAAGAAAAGTGGGTTGGGAGGCCTTTTAGGGGATCATCTTGGTGCAATATTAGGAACTTTTCAGGAGTCAGAGGGTCCGGGTCCTCCAACTTTGAAGGAACTTAAAGCTATTCAAAGGGGACTTGTTTTCGTCTCATCTATCCAAGGGAGGGAAAAATTTCGTTTGATTGTTGAGAGTGACAGCAAGGTAGCTGTGGACTGGATTATTAAAGCTGATTCTTGTCCAGCTGTGTATGCTTATATTGTTAAAGATATAGTTGTTAAACTTAGGTTTTGCGTGGGATTTGTTAGATGGGTTACAAGGACAGCTAACATGGAGGCTGATGCCTTAGCAAAAGCTGGTATAGGCTGAATTTTATGTATTTTGTTTTCGAGTGATTATTTGTAAGGGTTATTGGGTTTTCTTCCTCTAGGCTGTAATTCCTACTTTATTCAATAAAGTTATAAGACACTCTTTTCCATCTTCAGCTGATTAAGGAGTTTACACATTAACTCCATTAATCAAGAAGGTGGTTTTTAACTAGGCCTTCAAATCTTATCAAAAAAAATAACAGTCAACCTTACGATATCATCACCAATCTCTGGAGTCATGCTCATGCTTCTTCTTCTTATTCTACGTGCTTCTGGTGTTGATGCACGATCTGATCTGTGGCTAGAACTACAGTTCAAAGATACAATAACAATTAGTGGAAATTTTGGTGCTTCATTCTAAGCTTAGTTTAAAGAACGTGGTAAAAGGGAACAGAAACAGTTTAATAAAGACCATCACATAAATTTCATTAAGCCACAGTTTGCATATTAAACTAAATAAAAGATGATTCAAAACAGGACATCATCAGCATGAGAAGCGAGAGAACACAACCAGATTACATGAACAAATGCCTATGCAGAGCACAATTATCTATATTTCAACAAAAATGGTAAAGATGGTGAAAGAAATGCTTATAATAGAGAAATATAAAAGGAAGTACAAAAACTACTTGCCACCGTCTCCCCATACAATTTATAGGCTTAAATGAACATTTTGCAGCAACAAAAGAAGAATACCATGGGAAGGGGGATGGATATTTGTATTTTCTGACATGAAAGCCACATGCCTACTGCTACTACTATAGAGCAGAATAATTGTTTCATTCATGAGTAAGAGATATATAATCTTCAGTAAACATGAGAATCAATTTCGGGAAGAAAAGTGAGATGTATTTACTGAAAAAGGATCAAATGAGAAAAACCTTGATGTGGCAACATCAACACCATAGTCCCTAAGTGAATTCCTATCACCATTTAGCATGGACCTTGCTTGTGCTCGAAAAGAAGGATGCTCAGGACTCGGAAGGCATAACAATTTTGAAAAGAACTAGAAATGCTTGAAATATCAATTTTCATATTTAATAATTTCCTTTTCAGTTTAGAAATAGTTACTCTCATAATCGTACTGCCTGCGGCATGGAGTGGAAAGACATTTTTGAAGAAAATATTTTAGCTTGTAAACTTTTTGCAACTGTCCTCTATAAAAAGAATTCAGGTTATAATAATGAAATCAGTAGCACGGTTTATAATAATGAGAGAGAGAGTCTTAGGAGGTCCGCACTCTGGCGAGGAGTGGACGGTGTTTGTTGATTATCTTAGCAAAAGAGTCACTTGGAGATCATTAAAGGAAATTTTTAGTCACCATGGGAGTGTTTTGAGAGTTTATATCCCGAATAGTTCTAACAAACCAAATTATAGAGATCATTCATTTGCGTTTGTTCAGTTTGCGAAGGAAAAAGAAATGCTGGAGGCGATAGAGAAGGTCAATGGTACTTGGATTGACAGGAAGAGAGTTTCGGTATGTGTAGCTAAATATCGGAGGCAGAGGTCCTTGCAAGTTGGTGGAAGTAAGTCCAGAAAAGATGAAGATAAGTCGACTAAGGGTGCGAAACAGAGGAGTAGAGCGGGATCTGAGTCTTTTAGTCGGTTTAGGGATGAGAGGTCATATATGGTTGCTTTAACCTCGTCTGATGGGATGAGGAAAGTCCCGGTTGATGAAAAGGGTAGGGAGGGTCACCCTTGTAAAGATAATGGAATTAGAAATCTTTGGGAGATGCAAATTCCCTCTGATGAAAGGGATTGGGTGAAGAGAGCATTGACAGGGATTATCAAACCTCACTTTGATCTGGAGCTAGTGCTTAAGGGATTGGCAAGTGATGGGTTCAAGGTTAAGGGAGCTAGTTGGGGTTATGTGTGGAACTCTTGCATATTAACCTTTGATTCGGAGGAAGATTTTAAGGAGGCGTGGTCGAGCAGATTAGTGGAATTGTCCTTCTGGTTTGATTGGATTGATATCCTTCTGAATGATGACGGGGTACCGATGGCTTTCTGTTCAGTAGAGTTAATTGGTATCCCGTTATTATGCTGGAATGTCCTCTTTATGGAGAAACTTGTCTCAAAGTGGGGGAAGCTAGTCTGTATCCACGATTCGACGGTGAAAAGAGAGGACATGGCGGTGGCCAGGGCCTTACTGAGGGTGGCCAGTCCCTATGATGTTCAGGAGTCTGTTACGCTGGGCTCGTATGGGAGATCTTTTAAAGTTAAAATTAACGTGGGGTCGGTCTTTATTAAACAGGAAAGTTTTTTGGTAGGAAATTCAATGGTTGCCGGAGAGGATAGGTCCAGAGATGATGAATTTTCAGAGGATGAAGAAGAACAGTGCGCTGTTGGGGGTGGTAGACCAGACCTGCCAGTTGAGGATACTAGGGACAGAGTAGACAGATGGTTAGTAGGGGATGGAAGTTCAGCTTTAGTAGGCGATGAAGCAGGTCAGAATTTACTGTGGAAGGAGGGAGAAAGTCAATCTAGTGGAGTAAAGGTGTCAGACTTTCCAGCAGAGGATTTGAATTTGAGAGGGAATTATCAGGGTATTGGGATTAGGAATATTTTTTCTAATGAAAATGATAAGGCCCAATCAGAGGACTTGAGTGAGCCCATTAGACTTTCTACGGCTGGTCCAGTTGTTATTTTAAAGCAGCTGGGCTGTGGTAATCTAATAGAATCTGGGGTGGTGGAACTTGGAGACTTACAGCAAAAGGAGATGGATTACTCAAATAGGCAGGGTCGGGATAGAGCTACGCCGCTTTGCGTACCATTTTTGCTTAAGGATGGTACGAAAGTCAGTTTACAGAATATTGTTTCTAATGAGGTCTTGATGGAGGAAAGAGTAATTCGGGATAAAGGAGGGGGTAATGCGGACGGAACAGAGGTGGAAAGGGTTGAGAATCCAGTTATACTAACTGGTTTCCAGGGGCGGATTAAAAAGAAAAAGAAGTTAAGGATTGCTCCAACGAGGTCTGATAGTTCTGGTTTGGAGGGTGAAGTGTCATTTAGTTTTCATGATCGAGTTTATGAAAGACTTGATAGAGGTCTGGATAGGGAAAGTTTGGATTGAACCAGTGTTAATTCAGCGCCCCCAAACAAATGTATTGAAGCAAGACTGGAGGCTGCTGCTTCTAGAGATGTTTGTGATATGTTGGGGATCTCTTTCAAAGGGGGTAATCAAATTCTGGAAAAGGAGATCTTGAAGATGGAGCTTAGTGAGAATAGTAGAAGCTATTGACTGATTTTTTCAAGATAGTAAAGGTTGTTGCTTTTATTAATTATGTCACAAATCAAATTGATTTCATGGAATGTGAGAGGGCTTGGAAAAAAGGAAAAATCAAGAGCTGTTGCTAGATTAGTTTCAAAAATCAAACCGATGATTCTGTTTCTCCAGGAAACTAAGTTGAACAAATGTCGAAAGGGATTGTTGAGGAAAATAGGGGGAAATTTCCTAAAAGGGTCTAGCTTTCAGCCATCTACTGGTTCTGCAGGGGGTCTAATCAGTCTGTGGAACGAAAATCTGTTTGAAGTGAGCAGGGAGTTTAAGCATAATAGGTTCCTTGCTTTATCAGGAAAGGTTAAGACTGTTAACTTTGATTGTGTGGTTATTAATGTGTATGGGCCGTCGGTTGAGTCTGATAAAGAGGGGTTTTTAAGTGAGCTAATGTGTTTTACACAACAGCTTGATTTGCCTGTATGCTTAGGGGGGGATTTCAATGCTTATCTAGATCCCGAGGAGAAAATTGGAGTCCAACAGAATTGGCATTCTATGGAGTTATTTTCCAACTTTGTATTTAATCTTAACCTTATGGATCTTCCTTTAGTTGGAGGGAGATTTACTTGGTGCAACAATAGAGAAGCTTCAACGTGGATTAGATTAGATCGGTTTCTATTAAGTGGTGCTTTTTTCCAGATATTTCCAAAAGTTATCCAAAAATTGTTGCCGAAATCCTTATCTGATCATAACCCTATAATGCTGGAAGATGACCACAACAATTGGGGCCCTAAACCTTTCCGGTTTTTTAACTATTTACCAGAGGATGAAGGGTTTGATGGGTTGGTTCATGATGCTGTGGGTGATTTAAAGAGGGAGAATGCAAGAAGGGGTATGTTGAGTATTCTTCATGGAACGAAGAAAGCCATTAAGAAGTGGCCATACAACAATAATATGGGGATGTCAGAAAAGATTTCAGAGCTCGAAAATAGGATAAACGACTTGGAATTAAAGTCTCGGGTCGGGGAATTTCAACACAAGAATGGGGTCAACTAGTAGCTTGGAGGAATGAATTGTGGGGTCTGCATAGGAAGGAGGAGAGTATTTGGTTCCAAAAATCACGTAATAAATGGATCAAGGATGGGGATAGAAATACCAGATTTTATCACATTTGCGCTCTGAATAGGAGCAGAATGAATGCTATTTCGTCTTTGAAAGTGGCTGGGATTGATATTTCTGATCCCAACATGATTAAATCGGCTATTTTTGATTACTTTAAAGTAAAATACAATGAGATATCATCTCTGGAGGTGGAGGAATGTAATCTGAATTTTGCCAAATTGACCGTGGAACAAAAGGCTGGATTAGAGGTTAGTATCACTGAACAGGAAGTGTGGGATGCTGTTTTTAAGGCGGACAGTGCTAAGGCACCTGGTCCGGATGGATTTACTATGGGTTTCTTTAAAAAAAACTGGACTATATTGAAAGACCTTGTCATGCAGTTTGTTCAAGATTTTCAAAGAGGGAAATTATGGGAAAAGGGAGTGAATCATTCCTTCATTACGTTAATTCCAAAGAAGGTTAACCCACAGGGAATTGAAGATTTCAGACCCATTAGTCTCGTTGGCAGTCTCTACAAGATTATTTCTAAAATACTCTCGAAAAGACTAGTCTCTGTTATTCAAGGTTTGGTTAGCCCTTCACAATTCTCATTTATTCCGGGTAGGCAGTTGCTAGATTGTGCACTTTTGGCAAATGAAGGAATCGAATATTGGAGAAAACAAGGGAGGAAAGGAATTGTCTTTAAAGCTGACTTCCGTAGGGCATATGATTCGGTTGAGTGGCCTATCTTATTCAGGATATTGAAGGACATGGGTTTTGGGGATAAATGGATCTCATGGATTAAATGTTGTGTTTCAACGGCATCTATTTCGGTGTTAGTTAATGGTTCCCCTACCGAGGAATTCAATATTAGTAAAGGGTTGAGACAAGGGTGCAGCCTTTCCCCTCTCCTATTCAATTTAGTGGGGGAATTATTAAATCTTATGTTGATTAAGGCAGTTGATAAAGGGCTGTTTCAAGGGTTTAGCATTGGTAGGATTGGCAATTCCTTCCAGTTGACTCATCTGCAGTTTGCTGATGATTTAATACTCTTCTGCAGCGATTCAACAATGCAATTTCTAAACTTGAGAAGAGTGTTGAGGGTCTTCGGTGTCATGTCTGGGGTGCATTTAAATCTGTCAAAATGTACTGTATTTGGGGTTAATATGGATGCTGATAGGGTTCAGGATTGTGCTAGGAAAGCAAGATGTGGAGTGGGGTATTTTCCAATGTCTTATCTTGGTTTACCGATTGGAACTAGGAAAAATTCAGTGGGTATGTGGGAACCGGTTGTCCAGAATTTTAATAAGAAGTTAGCTGGGTGGAAAGTAAATTCACTGTCGTTGGCGGGCAGACTTGTTTTGGTTAAATCGGTGCTTTCATCTTTGCCAATTTTTTACCTATCGATTTTCAAGATTCCACACAAAGTGTCTCAGAAGTTGAACTCGCTGATGGCCAACTTCCTTTGGGGATATGATCTTGAGAAAAAACGAATCCACTGGGTGAATTGGAAGTCGGTGTGTCAACCAATCGAAGAGGGTGGTCTGGGTATACTGGATTTAAGGGTGATTAATAGGGTCCTTCTAGGGAAATGGGTTTGGAAATTTGCTAATGAAAAATATAGTCAGTGGAAGAATCTGATTTGCAGCAAATCCAACGTTAGCACTTTGTCTCTCTCAATTTCAGAAGCGTCTACACCTTTTGATTCCTGGATATGGAGAGGTATTCTCAGTAACTATAATAAGAATGATAAGATTGGTGGATGTTTGAGAAATAATTCAAAGGTCATTGTAGGGAATGGGCGGTCGATTGCTTTTTGGAATGATATTTGGATTACTAATCTGCCTTTAAAAAGACAATTCCCAAGAATTTATGCTTTGTCGACAAACAAATGGGGGATGATCTCTGAGTTTGGTGAGTATGAAGATGAGGTTTGGGTGTGGAATATACAACTTAGAAGAATGTTGTGTGATTGGGAATTGGACCAGTGGATTGCATTTGTCTTTGATTGACAAGGCGTCGCTGTCACGATGTGTGGATGATTTTTTGGGCTGGTCAGGAAAGGGGGATGGCATTTTCTCGGTCAAATCTTGTCGATTATCGTTACAAGATAGGTCGGAAGGGAGTTTTGTATGGAAAAAGTGGGTTTGGGAGGGATTGGCGCCTCCAAGAGTTCAAACTTTATTATGGCAGATCTGTCATCAGAAAGTGGCAGTGAGAGTGGAATTGAAGAGAAGAGGACTTCAGATTTCGGATGTTCTTTGTCCTATGTGTCATGATCAGGATGAAACTGTTGCACACCTGTTCCTAACGTGCCCTATTGCCTCGGAATTGTGGAGTAAATTTCTAAGGTTATGGAATATCTCTACGGTGATGCCTCAAGACCCTTCTTCAATTTTGTGTTCGTGGTCGAACCTTAGGAATAATTCCCTTATTTGGAGGTTTATTCCGGCTGTCATATTTTGGTCTATTTGGAAGGCCAGAAATGAGGTTGTATTTGAAAATGGCATATGTGACTCTACTGTTCTGTTCTTCATTACTAGATTTAGATTGGCTAAATGGTTCTTGGCTAAATACCTGGGGGTTCGGATTCTGACAGACCTTCTAGTAGGGGATCCTACGCGGGCGGATTTATTACCCTCTAATTCGAGTTCTAAGAAGATTAGTTGCTGGACTCCTCCTCCATCTGATATGTTCAAACTCAATGTCGACGGGGCAGTGACTGGAGATGGGATGCAGGGTGGTATTGGTGGGGTTTTGAGAGACTCCTGCAGCTGCACTTTAGCTAATTTTTCTTCCGCAGTGGGCCCTGGTCCCCCTATTCTATCTGAACTGAAAGCGATTAAGAAAGGATTGCTCTTCTTCTTTTCATCCGATTGGGCCAACAAAGGAAGACTTATTTTGGAAAGTGATAACAAATATGCAGTAGATTGGATTTTAAAACGGAGTCCTTCCCCTACTATTTTCAGTGAGTTGGTGGAGGAAATGGGAGTTCTTGTTTCTACAAAGGGTGTTGTTCTGAGATGGGTTTCTAGGAGTTGCAATATGGAGGCAGATAGGTTAGCTAAGCAGGGAATCGGATGAGTGTTGAAGGCTTAGTGTTGTTCGTTACGATAGTGTTGGTGTGGGGTTAGGCTGATGGGTGTTTTTTTCCCATCGCTTTTTGTATTATGGTCATGGTGTATTTTCGAGGGTTAGAGTGTTATGTTTATCCTGTGTTTCTCAGGATCAGGATGTTTTGTGTATCTTATGTAATTCTGGTTTTTCAATAAAATGAGGTGCTCTTTTCCTCCCTCAATCAGTTTACATCAAATGTAAACTATGAGGGAGGTTCCTAAGGAGTCCTACTATTCCTATCAAAAAAAAAAAGAATTCAGGTTACTTTTTCTGTTTTATATTGTTATGGTTTGCATATCCAAGTATCAGGGTTTGGCATACATACTTTGGTTTGAAACTAGGTTTAAGATCATGAATATTGCTTATTTCTCCTTGTTGACTTTTTGCCTTGTTTCTCTTTCCAATTCTTCAATTCCTCTCCCTATTTTAGATGTTTCTCCCTAATCGATATAGCAGATCTCTGATTTTCCCTCTATATTACTATTATTTATCTTTTTCCTCCAATTTGTCATACGTCACTAGATAACCATGGCATCCCATCTACAACTATTAACATAAAAGGGTATGAGAGAAACCTGGAATTGGTAGTCCGCTGTTCAGCAATAATCTTTCGTCGGCTACGATGCCAGAAAGCATTGGCAATGTTGGGTTCACTATGTGACAGGCTATGGGAGAAAAACAAATAAACATATAAACAACATAGAAATTTATAATATCAAAAATGCTGTAGTGTATATATGTTTCAATCAAGCAGATCTGATCTAGTGAGATGTCATGTTAGATTACCTTAACTTCCCATTAATGGAGGTGGAAGATCGTAGCATCATATTCCGCAATGAAACACCAGTTATATTGGAAGAGCTATCCAATTTTCGAAGGAACTGAAGGTTCTCATCTTTTTCAGCACTGCAGCATATGAAATGAGAATTACAACATTAAAAAGGACAGCAACTTTCTAAACAACTCATAAAGAAAAGTTGGAAAAAACTTTGGAATGTTTCAAACACCATTCACTGACCTTTCAGGATCAACTCTCTCAGAAAATCCATAGAGAGGACTGTTTGGCTCCATCGGTGAATCACATGAATCATTTTCAGCAGAATCACTCTCCCCTGCTGGTGAAATATGGGTCATAAAAATAGCCCTTGTTGATCGTGGCATCAATTGACCCGGTAAACGTATAAGATCAACCAGTAGCTCCACAGAATTTAACACAACCATCACAGACATGTGCTTATATGAATCTGCACACTCAACAGCCCCATCATTTGGCAAACCCTGAAAGAATGACATAAGAAAATATTGAGACAGCCCCATCAGTTCTTCCCAATTTGCTTTCATTCCAGGTCGATAAATCCTGGATTGTTCTTTTATTGCTAATGAGGGAGTTGACTTTTGGAGGAAAAAAGGAATTAAGGGTTGTGTGTTTAAGGTGGACTTCAGGAAGGCCTATGACACGGTGGATTTGCCTCTTCTATTTAAAGTGATGGAGAAGATGGGTTTCGGAATCAAATGGAGCAGTTGGATAAGAAAATGTGTAACAACAGCCTCGGTGTCAGTTTTGGTTAATGTGGTTCCTTCTGAGGAATTTCCAATGGCAAAGGGTCTTAGACAGGGTTGCTCCCTATCTCCACTGTTGTTCAACTTTTTTTTTATAGGAATTGAAGGCCTCATTAAAAACCTCCTTTTTTTTTGATAGGAATAGAATGCCTCTTTAAAAACCTCCCTCTTAGTAGACCCTTGCCCATAGGCAAGAACCAACTAGCTGAAGGAGGAAAAGAGTACATAATTTTATTAAATATAAAACTTTTACATAAAACTTAAGAACTCTCCAGCCAAATACTACCAACATAAAACACTCCTGACACACTATTCCTCTACAGCATACAAACCAACTAAATCCATAACTACAATCACCCAATTCCCTCCTTCGCTAACTTGTCAGCTTCACAATTACAACTCCTAGGAATCCACCTGACAATAGCATGAATTAAAGAAACAGAAGCCACAATTTCCTTAACAAAATTAGACAGAAAAACCGGGGCAGAAACTTGATTAATGATCAAATCCACTGCTGTCTTTGAGTCACATTCGATAATAAGCCTGCCCTTCAACACCCAATCTGAAGAAACAAAGATGTCAATGCCTTTTTTGATAGCTTTAAGTTCTGCTAGAATAGGTGTGGTAGGCCCGACACTTTCAGAGAATGAAAGAAGAGTAACCCGATTCCAATCCCTGAGAATTCCTCCTATACCCGCCATCATCCCAACACAGCAAACAGCCCCATCCACATTCATCTTAAAATAGTCCACCGGAGGAGGATTCCAGCAGTACACAATGCTGTTCAGAACCTTAGGAGCAGAAAAATTGTCAGCCAAAGAGGGATCACCAATTAGAGAGTCTACCTGAATAGAGAATAGGGGATACTTTGCTAAAAAACCATTTGGCTAACCTTAAACGAACAGTGAAAAACAGTAAAATTCTGTCTAGTTTTCTTTCTTCAAAAATTAACTCATTTCTCATTTTCCAAATGGACCAAAAAACAGCCCCTGGAATAAACTTCCAAATAGCAGAATTAGGCCTCAAAGCAGCCCACAAACAGAGCAGACTAGGAGGGTCTTTTGGAATAGCTAACTGAATACCCCAGTACCCTAAAAGCTTAGTCCACAAATCCCAAGAAACAAAACAAGAAATAAATAAATGCTGAACTGATTCATCCCTTTGATTACAAAAAGGGCAGAGAGTGTTTTCCCCTAAATGAACCCCTCTTTTCAACAGTTCCACTCTCACTGCAACTTTTTGGTGGGATAGTTGCCAAAGGAAAGTCTCCACTCAAGGGGGAACTAAACCCTGCCAAACACACTTATGCCATTGAAAAGAATCATCAAGAGAAGAAGAAAGAACTCTCCTACAAGCTTTAACTGAGAACAGACCCTCACCCGAACCATCCCACAACAAACAATCCTCCAAATGCTCCAAAAGATTAATGTTTTTAAGCATATCCAGTAACTCTGCCAACTGCTCAATCTCCCAATCACAAAGACTCCTTCTCGTCTGAATATTCCATCCCCATCCATTCGAATCAAAACTACCAAAATCCACTACAGTACCCAATTTATTTGTAGAAAGAGCAAATATCCTTGGGAAAAGCAGTTTCAAAGGTAACTCCCCAATCCATAAATCGCTCCAAAAAGAAATTGATTTGCCATTACCTATTTGAAGCTTAGCATGAGATCGGAGACAACCACCAATAGCATCATCCTTAATAAAATTATTCACAATTCCCCTCCATATCCAAAAGTCTTTTGGAGAAAGGACCTTAGAAATATCCATGGAATGACAGCTCACATCGTGTTTGCTACATAAGAATTTCTTCCACAACGAATTTTTATCATTAGCAAATTTCCATACCCACTTTCCCAGCAGCGCTCGGTTTGTTAGATTCAAATCAGCAACACCCATGCCTCCTCCACTCAACGGCCTGCAGATAGTATTCCACCTCACCCAATGCATTCTCCTCTTTTCGACCCCTCCTCCCCATAAAAAAATCGACATCAAGGAATTTAACCGATGACAGACAGTAGAGGGCAACTTAAAAATGGATAGGAAAAAAATAGGGAGAGATGATAAAACAGACTTGATTAGCACCAATCGGCCAGCCATAGATAACGAAACAGCTTTCCAACCTGCCATCTTCTTTGAAAAACTGTCAATCACCGGATCCCACAACTTCTCTGAATTCTTTGACGCCCCCAACGGAAGTCCAAGATAAACCGATGGAAATGTACCTATAGAACATCCAATCTCCCTAGCCCAATCTTCAAGGATATCATTCTCCACATTAATACCAAAAAGTTTGCTCTTAGCTAAATTAATATGCAGTCCCGAAATCAAGCTGAAAATCCTCAAAACTCTACTAACATTCTTAATCTGGGTAATAGAAGCTTGGCAGAAAATAATTAAATCATTTGCAAACTGAAGATGGGACAACAAAAATGAGGAATGATTCTCACCAAAAGAAAACCCTTGAAAGAGACCCGAATCCACTACTTTAGACAACATCAGATGAAGAAGTTCCCCAACCACATTAAACAGCAAAGGAGAAAGGCTACACCCTTGCCTTAAACCTTTTGCAATGGGAAACTCTTCTGTAGGAGACCCGTTTACTAAAACCGATATTGAAGCAGTCGAAATACACTGGTTAATCCAAGAACACCACCTCTCACCAAAAGCCATATCTTTCATTAACCTTAGAAGAATTTTCCATTCAACTGTATCATATGCTCTGCTGAAATCCACTTTAAAAACAACCCCTTGAAGCCTTTGTTTCCTCCAATAATCGATACCTTCATTAGCTAAACAAACACAGTCCATCAATTGCCTACCCGGAATAAAAGCAAACTGTGTAGGACTGATAATATCCTTGACACAAGATATCAGTCTCTTTGAAAAAACTTTAGAGAGAATTTTATATAGGCTTCCCACAAGACTAATTGGTCTATAGTCTTCAATACACTCCGGATTACATTTCTTAGGGATCAAGGTAATAAAGGCATGATTTACTCCATGAGACCAATCCTTCCCATAATAGAAATCTGAAAAAAAACTTCATAATATGCTCCTTGAGATCCTTCCAATATTTCTTGTAAAACCCCAAGGTAAAACCATCTGGACCAGGAGCTTTTGAGCTATCAGAAGACGAAATTGCATGCCACACTTCTTGCTCTGAAAATTCCTCCTCCAAAAAAGCACATTGGGTTGCTGTTAACTTCAGAAAATCAAAATTTAGGCCCTCTACCTCCAAGGCTGAAATATTCGAATAAGCAGTCTTGAAATAATTAAACACACTGCCTCTTAATTTTCTCGGATCCGAGACTAATTCCCCTTCTACTTTCAATGAATGGATAGAATTGACTCTATTCCGTTTCATAGCACTAAGGTGAAAGAACCTCGTGTTTTTGTCACCTTCTTTGAGCCATCTATTTCTTGATTTTTGGCACCAAATACTCTCCTCTATCCTTAGCAAACTCCATAACTCCTTCCTGAATTCAACCACCTGACCCCTCTCCACCGATGACAACCTGCCTCCTTGTGACTTTAAATCCATGTCAAAAATCTTCATTTCAAGAGACGAGATAGATTCTGCCAGCCCTAAATAACTAATGCCTGACCATCTTCTTATCTTCTTTTTTGCAGCTTGTAACAACCTAAAAATACCACCACTATTTACCTTCTTCTTCTCTACTGCCACAAAATTTGTAACCAATTCATCAAAACATTGATCCTCTAAAAGATAATTGAAGAACCTAAAAGGTTTAGGGCCCCAATTAAGACAGAAATCTTCCAGCAATACTCGATGATGATCTGAAATTGATTGCGGTAAAAGGCTTTGCGAAATCTAAGGAAAACTGTCAAGAAAACTTCCACAAATAAGGAACCGATCTAACCTAACCCATGTAGCCAATTCTCTATTACTACACCAAGTGTAAGATCCTCCTGACATGGGCAAGTCAATGAGATTAGCTTGATGTACGAAAGATCTAAGAATATTTATTGCATGCCAATTTTGTGATCTCCCATGTTTTTCATCCGTTTCTAGGTACGCATTAAAATCTCCCCCTATACACAATGGCAGATTCAACGAAACAACAAAATTCAGCAGTTCCCCATAGAATTCCTCCTTTTCAGACTCAATAGCAGGACCATAAACATTAATAAAAACAAACTCCTTTTGACAGTTCATAAAATTCCCCACTAAAGCCAAAAATCTTCTATGAACATGTTGCACAGTGACCTTGAACACATTTTCATTCCACATGCTAATTAAACCACCCTTAGACCCCTGAGCTGGAGATACCAGCACACCCTTTAACAAATTACCTCCTATCCTCCTTAAAATCGAAACATGACAATGCTCCAATTTAGATTCTTGAATAAAAATCATAATCGGTTTTAACTTCTTCACTTGTTTTGCTACTGCTACTGACTTTTCCCTCCTACCTAACCCTCTAATGTTCCACGAAAAAATACTTAGTTTATTCATGAGAAGACTACACTCCCAAAACAACTCACCCTTGACCGCCAAACCTGCATATCAACCTTCCTTAACATCCTCCGCACCCTTCTGAAGACTTAAGATTTTATCAATGAAAGTCTTCTTCCCCTCCTTGAAAGAAATACCTAATAACTGACAAACTTCCCAAGTGGCCATTGCTTCCTCCACCAACTTTGAGAATTGGGGTGAAAAGACAGTGGAAATATTGACCAAGTCTACAGCT